TTGTAAAAGACCATATAGATAGAAAGTAAAATAAAGAATAACTCTCTCTCTCTCTCTTTCTCAAAAAAAAAAGATCATCAATTTAGAACTCATCATCTAAAAAAAAAAAAAAAAATGTTCTAATCTTATCGCATAGAATTTTAACCTTTCAATTTGATTCAATTAACAATTAACAGTCACATCATTAATTAATTCATTAGTTAATACATTATGTGCATTACGTACTCTACTAATGATAGATTGTACTAATTGCTAGCTCTTTGATGCTAAAATAATTCTACTCTTTCATCCAGTCTTTCTCATTCTCTTGTACTTTCACTGTAAAGGATAAGAGGATAAAAAGTATACTTGTTTAAATTGACAAAAAAAAAAAAAAGGTTGAAAGATAAATTTGAATTTAAAAAACTGAATTGAATCTTCAATTTCGTCAATTTTCGAAGTAATTACTGATGCGTCGCCTTTAATAGAATCAAATCAAATTTAATTTGATTAAATTCTTAAAGGAATTGATATTATTCAAACAAATTGAGCATTAATAATATAGAAAATCGGATTAACGATAGGTCCGATAACTAATAACTGAACAGCTAAATAAGTTTGGGTAGAAATATGCACGGTTAATTTAAAACTTTAATTAAGAATTAATAATAAAAGCACAGGTAAACTTACTTTGCAGAATGATGCTTCTGTATTATCAGCAGTATTTCTGATTGATGAATGCTTATTCAGTTATTCGAATAGAACGCACATTTCAGGTTGTCAACTTCATCACTCATTGTGTCATTATCTTTCCCCTCTCCTTAAAACACTTTTTTGTTAAAAAAAAAATTTCATATGCAGGAGGAATAATCTTAAATGCATTTTGTTTAGAAAGACAATTTCAATAGTAACTCTGAAAAATATAATATACTCGTTGCGCCATAATAAGGATTTTAACATATACTGTAGATACAGTAGGATGTAATGAATAATTTTCAAACAAACCAAGATTACGTGTAATCAGCCAAGGCTTGGCAGAATAAGCAAGCCAAGACACACAGTGTCAAGTGTAATTAACTAAACTTTGACGGATTAAGCAAACAAAGACGCATTGTATTACGTGTAATCAGCTAAATTCTGACGTACTAAGCAAGTCACTAATATTTTTCTATACTTGAGCTTGGCTAGTTGTTCTAAAACAATGCCATAATCAAAAGAATTTCATAATAATCAATTCCACAATAAAAATAATTTCGTAAGCAATTCCATCATTTTCATAACAATTCCAATTTTCGAAAATTATTTTAAAAAAAAGCAATTATTTTAATAACAAAAACAATTTTATCAATTCCACAATAACAATTCTTAGTTATCGCAGTTATGGCGAAAATTTGAGTTCAATGAGATCAGAAAAGCCTAACGTATATGGTCTTGTAATGTTTCGATATTCGGACGACGTTGACCTTGCGTGCGTGATATGTCACTTTCCCCTTTTAATTGAAATATGGAAGAAATACAATGTAGAATACAGGAATGAATGAAAAAATATACATAAATCAAATCATCTGTTGTATATATTACTTCTAAAAAAGTCTTAAAGGCATGAAGTGTGAACTATCACAATTAAGGCGTAATTTACGGAATGAAGTGAGACATCAATTTATTCACCTTAAGTATAAAGACAAATTAGTATTTATTCAATCTTAATTTTATGAGGAAATTGGTTCAAAAGCACGAAAAATGTTGCTTCATTATTATATAAATTGTCGGAATCTAAGAACTGAATCCGATTTAAAGTCTAATACTATGAGCGACATGTCCGGAGAACTTTTCTCTTTTTTGATTTATCTTCACATGAATTACATGACATATGTGGATACTCTAAAACACTTAACTCTACACCAACTACATATTCTAAATGATATATTGCAAAACTTATGATCTGTAGCTTTTTTTTTCTTGAACTTTTCAAGTTTACTGCAGCATTCCAATAGATCAGGTTTTTTTATGCATAATGGAACCATCCACAAGAAATGAAATTATAAGTGAGAATTACACTTGATCATTCTATATGTCGTATAAATACTAATAAAAAAGTGACACATGAATGCCGTACAGGAACATTAACAATAACAACATAACTTTGACGCCGTTGCGCGCGTTCCAATCAAGAGAAAATGATGGAAGATGCAGAAAATTCTTCAACCAGTTGAAAGTTGTAAAAAACCCGAAGAATAAAGAAGGTCGCGACACATATAAGTTAACCAAAACTATAGTTCGATGTTGTTACCAATAGCTAAAGGTGATGGACTGAACAAGAAGTTAAGGTAATACTATAATGTACCATTCAATGCATTCCTGGAAGGTTAGACTAATCTATACCCAAAATAAAAAGTACATCCACAAATTCGCAAACACCATTCCGTATACTCTATTCGGCAAACGATAACTCAACTCAAAGACGATCAAGGACGCCAAATCAAATTAAATTTCAAATCTATCGTACTAATAAACGAAGCTACAAAGTTAGTAATGAAAATATGCTGCTTTTTTTATCAAATGAAATTGAATGAGTTTATATAGACAATTGAGAAATATTGCACAAGTATGAAAATCAATGCTTGTAACAGTCTTTCAAAACAACATTACTTGGAAAACACAATGCTTCAGTTTGAAATGAAGAAAGGATAATTTAAAAACTCAAGTCTTTGCCCATCTTTAACAGCAAGAAAATAACAATGAATAACTATGAAAGATTCGTATCTGGAAACGGTACATAAATTTAGATGATCCTAAAATAACCGAAACAATATCTTACTTGAGAATTATCTCTATTAAACTAGTTAACTAGTACATTACTACAACTTGTTACGTGAATCGCTTTAATGAATTTAAACATGAAAAATAAGATGAACTCAGCGGTTCCAGAGGATAATTTATTTGATTTGATCCTAATGTTTAAAGTTATGGATGGCAAACTTGATGCTTACCATTGCTTGTCTTATGCCGTTAAAGATACACAAAAAAATATTTCATTCTTATTGCTAGTTTACAATTTTTCATTTACATAACAAAGAAAAGATAACTACTAAGTTAACCCAATAAAACCCACGGAAGTTTCATTTCATATTGGTGGATAAGATATGAATAAGATATGAATAACTTAATTTCCAGCCAACACCTTCTTCGATGCGGCAGACTCGATATTATCTTGCTCTGGAACCATATCGGAAAATTTCCTTTTACGTGTTGCTTCTTTTTTCTTATTTTCCACAATTCGAGAAAGAGTTCCATAAAGTTGTGCAGCAACAAATTCAGATGCCTTGAAAAAAAAACTTCAAGTAAAGAAAGTGAGGGAAATAATCATTTTACAACCAAATAAATAAATCTTTTGAAAGCTGCAGAGTGAAACAAATAACAGATCTACCAGTGAACTGGATTGTTACCGCAAATCTGCAAGCTTCCTGAACATTATTTTAAAACTTCAGGAAAAATACAATAGCATCCAGAACATAACTATTATAATCAAAGCTGAAACTTCACAGGAAACGAGATTTTGACTGAGCCCGACTCCTAGAATCATCACTGAATGGCTTTTTCCATTTTTGAAGACTGATAATGGCCGACTGATATAAAAAAATTTAAAAAGGTTCAATAACACATAAAGTGAGAAAAAAGGTTGCAAGAAATTCATACTGTAGCAAGAAAAAGCGCTGGAACTTCTGAATCTGGTGCTGTAGCTGAGAACTTCACCCGTCTCATTGATAATTTTTCAACGATCATATCCGGAAATATCTGCGAATTTAGTACTACCCTTTGGTTGCCCATTACTCGGCCGACTAAAATATCATTTGATTTAACGAAATTTTAAATCAAAGATTACTTCAATAAGAAATCTGACTGAAATAATAAAAAATCGCAAAATGTTCATTTTACAGTACTAGGATAAAAAGAATGTCACTACTTGAAAATTACGATGAAAATTCAAAAAGCCCTTCATTTTTTTTGTATCTCAGCTAAGAGTTTCGCGCAGTGAATATCCTTCCTTATACCTAAGCTAATTTTATTCTTTCCGATGACCATTAAAAACAAACGTTAATTCTCATAAGTAGCGTCCTCAATTTTTGAAAAAGACATCAAACGTAACTTTGCTAAAGAAAACTGTAATCTTTCGTGAACTGTAAAAATCTGACAAAAGCGCTTCGTAAAAAAAAAGAAAAAAAATGTCTACAAAAAATTAATGAAAAATGAGGAAAGAAAAGAAAAAAAAAGAAGTAATAAGACTCATTACCGATTCGGTAAGTGTAAGGAGGCTCTTCACCCCTTTCGTTAATACGTAAGCAAGACATGCCACGCTCTACCCATGATTTTGCCGAACTATCAAATGAATGTAATTTACACACTGCCTAAAAGTGAAATATACTTCATTACTTTTTGGTATATTACTAACAGAGCTACAACTTGTCAAAGAAAAAGCTTAATCATCAATATGTAACTTTAAACTAACTTTCCTTAAGAAAACTTACACGATATATATTTATTTCACCTTCCTCACCAGTAACAACATCTAGCTTTGGTGGGACTGATTCATCTATCTCAGAAGGTATAATCGAATTATCGTCGTTAGTAATTGAACTCGACGAAGCAGAGATCGCTTCCAATTCCTGTAAAAAAACAAGACAATTAGTATAACTTTCAAAATTGGAGTAAATTTTAACTCCACAACGGGAAAACTTGAGAAAATTCGTCCCGAATACATTTTTAAAAGCCAATAGAAATTCAAAAATGCTAAAATCAAATGTGTGACGCAGTTGGGAAACAAAAATGACGCCGCAGAGCTATGATAGTCAAATTTGGCAGGAAGGGAAGTGCAAGAAGAGTAAGTACTAATGCGAAAGAAAAAAATTACCATAAAGAGTGAATGGTTGAAGTACTGTTGAAGTACTGGTAATATTTCCAGAAATGTAGTTCTCAAAATGGGTTAAAAGAGTATTAATTAAAAGTTATAACCACTGAAACTCACTGCAACTGACTCTTTTGATTTATGGTTACCGATAAAGGAAGATGAAGCTCCTTTTTGTTTGATTTCCTCAAATACTTCCGTGACACTTTTCGGAACGTCACCCCTGGTTTCACTATTTGCTACGATAAGCTCACTTGCGGAATTACAAGCGCTGGTTTGTTCGCCCATTTTATCCTGCCAAAATTCATATCATAATTATCAGGAAATCTTAATAATTCATGGCCCCTTTAAACAGTAGTAAGTTAAAGCTTCGTTATCTATTAACCAAATATTACTGATTTCAATGTAATCGTAGAACATATTATAAATACTGCCTCGTGAAACTCGTTAATTTAGCGAGTCTTTCGATTTACAGTTTCGAAAACATATCACACTAATTTAATTAAGGAACCATTTACTTACTCTAAGCTACAACAAAGATAGGGACAAAAAAGTGAAGCAGAAGAGGAAAAAAAACATACTTCCTTACTGATGATTACTTTCTCTGACAATTTCGAACCAAATACAAAACTGCCAACAGTGTTCTTTGTCGCTTCCGCATTTGAACTCTTTTCTGGTTTATCTTTAGCGAGTGTCTTGCCCAGATCTAGTTTTATATTTTTCTCATCGGCCTTGAAACCACTCTTACTGGCTGACCATAGCTGATCTGCAGCCGAAGACAGCTTCGAAGACTTAAATGCAAAACGTTTCGTTGTCATAGGTTGATATTTTGACTGAAAAAATTTTCAAATTAATACTTCCAGCCATGAAGGCATTGATAAGAATTGACGTCTACTCTTCGTCAGCACTGATAAAGGTTGCTGCTTATCACTAAAATATCTTGCAATGTAATTCTCAAAGAAAAAAATAAATGAAAACACGGCGTAAGAACAAAAATGCCTGCAATTATCGATCGGTTATGCAAACTGTTTGTCAAACCGGTGAAGTGGTAATTACCCACCGAAGCTGCTCACCAAAAAAATACCTGACAAATGGGTAACTCATCAAGGAACCAAGAGAACTTGACAAACCCGAAACACCCAAAAAATCACCACTCACCGGTGTTTGCAAAATGAATAAGAACCTGTCTTCCAGTCCACCGGGATTTTATCAATTGTCTCTAATTGCGTCACTGTTTCCATCTCTAACTGACAATATCCTCAATCCCTGGCATAATTGTTGATTATATTTACTTCATCATTTTTGCAGTCCCTAACTTCTCTCGCTGTTTTATAGCTCTCATTAGCTTTCTAATGCCTCTCTTGTCTACAATCTTTCACCTTTCGCATATTTTCTGATTCTTGCACTCAGTAGTTATACATTTCTCCCTCTGAATTCTCTTACATTCCTTTCAATCTCTGCCACTTCTATGCTTACAATACTTCCATTACTGTCACAATTGTTGATTATTTTTCAAATCCTTTAATACTAATTAATTTTTAAATCCCCGTCTTCCCACAACACCTGTCTCCTTAGTTGCTGTCGCAAGCTCAAGTTCAGATTCTTCTTTGACACTTACATAAATAGCCTTACCTGACCAGTTACTATTCCACTTGTATTTCGTAAAATTTAAACGTTAATTTCACAGTTTCAGCTTATCATAGCAACATTCCCTTTTCCACGGGAAGTGTTTTTTTTTTTTTTTATGAGCAAAGAATATCAAAAATGTTCACTATGTACTCTTTCTTTCTTACACCTTCCATCCTGTTACAAATCTCTCTCTATCCCCCCCCCCCACCCCACAGACACACACACATACACACACACACACACACACATACCATACACATACACACACATTCACATAATACGTACAAATTTACTATCTGGTGATTTATATCAATGAAATATTTTGATGGCTCTTTCGACATAATACATCATTTTGGTTGGTCCGAACTTGAAGAAATTGAAAAGTTCAGAGTACTTTTTAAATGTTGTCCGATTTTTGATCTGTTAAAGATTAAGGTTATGTGATAAATATCAATTAAGCATCTCTGTGAAATAGAGAAAGTGGAAAGTGATATGACAAGAACTTGTTCACCCACATGTTCAAACAACTACACAATTTTCATCTTGATAATTTTTATTTTTTAAATTTGAAATTTTTTATTTTTTGATTGTTTACAACATTACTTTTAAATATTATCTCAAAAAGTTGACCCATTTCGTTCATTCTTACTGATCTACAAATCTGAATCAATATCTAGAAATTTCTAAATCTATATTTAGGTATTTTCACATATCTATCCATTCGGTATGCTTTTCATTTCAATTTTCCACGAATTTCGAAGACATTACGTTATCAAATATTCCTCTTTGTAACCAATTCGTCACTGTGACCCAAACTGGAAACTCTCTACTCTCGACTAACCCACACATCTTACTTCTTCATCATCTCGAAACTATAGCTGTTCACTATATTTTGTTTATACTTCTCTATCTTTTATCACTTTATTACCCTATCATTTACGCTTTATCTTTTCATCTTTCATTTAATTCACTGCCATCTGTATTCTCATTTCAATATTTCACATTCGTGAAATTTATTCAAATTTTTATTCCAAGGAAAAGAACGTCACTACTGTTGCATAATCATGACATATGAAAAGAGTCACAGTAGTTATTTCTACCAGCTTGAACTTTTTCACCACGTTCTCAGGGACTTGTCACCCCTTTTTGTCATTTTGATCTATCTTATCATTCCGAATATATTCCGTTCGTGATGAGTCATCCGACTAAATATTATAGAATTCAGCAAATGTTTCACGCTTGCGTTAATTTCAACGAACAATGAAATATATATTAATACGGGAAAATATGAACGTAACGGATTTACCTGATGAGATTATTGAACAGATCTGTTCATATGTTTCACCTGTTCAGGTTCTTTCTCTTTCTCATACTCAAATAGAGCTTACTTACTTAGGAACAGGAAGTCATTCACTCCCTTCTATTTGTTTCTTTCGAAAAAAAGGTGCAAGGAACAGTAGTTTGCTCAGCATAGAGTGATATAGGAGGGTTTAACATTCCTAGAACGATATCATTTGCTATCAGATTCCATCTGGTACCACTGATAGCGGTTGCATCTTAATTATATCATTTCTAATTTGTACAACTGGCTTCAGGTAGATTTGAATTACTGAAAAAAACTTTGGCTATCATCATTAAGCTTCGAACAACATTTCCTTATTCTTTCAGTTATGTTTGTCAGGATGGGATAGGGTCAGCAAAGGATTCAGAGATATGCTACAACAAATATATCAGAGCTTTCGTGTATTGAATACAATTACAGGACAAGATTGCAAATTCTTTGAGCAGTTTTGTTTGCCACAAGCTTATGACGATGAGGTTAGCTTCTTCTCATTATATATTTTTGCGGAAACCATTATGATTGATTTTTCAATCGCCAACTTTCGCTTAATTCCATTAAAATATAGCAGACCAACCCCAATTCTGTTTAGAGAAAAATTTACTAACTATAGGCATTTCTTCTTTTTTCGTTTTATTATAATACATCGGTTTAGATCCTTACAAGAAAGCTCGAAATCGTTATTCGAAATATTTTCCTACATGTCACGATGCTTACCGTCTCTGCGGGAACACTTTGTGCAGGTAGAAATCTTTGACAAAAAAAAAGTGCAATTTTGACAAATGCAAAAAAATTTTTTTGATAAATGACGATTAATACAATAGCACTTATAAACATAAGTATAATGCTGTTGTATTTATCATCGCTTTTAAGACTGAGCTTGAAGATAAGATCCATTGCACCTTGGAATCGGTATGGTTTAACGTTTCAAAGTATGAAAAGATGTAAACCTCGAAAGCCTCAGGATGTTTGGCAAACATTTTGTGAAGCGTTTTTAAGGATAAAAAAGTTGATACTAGGCCTAATGTAGGATTTCAATATTAATGCCGTTGAATCCATGGGAAACTAAAATCAACTCTTCCTTAAAAATTATAATAGTTACTGTTGCTTCAGTTTTACGATACATCGTCAAATTTGAACCCATTTTGTTAATGCCGAAACTTCGTTTTCTTCATATATTGTTAGGCGATAAATGTGGTGTTCTGACTAACAGTCATGTATTTAGCAATTTCACAGTAGCTCGGTTTGTTCCTTTTAAAGTAGTCATGATTTCACCTAATTTATATTTATTGTTTTTAATGATCAATATTCTGCCATTGTAATTACCAAAAATATAGACATCTAAAGGTCCTACGATTCTCTTCATGTTGATGCTAACAAGTGGCATTATTTTTGAAATTGATGGCTGTCCACATTATGGAGCTATTTTTTTAACTGTTTGGAATATTTCCTCTATAGAAACTTTTTAGAAAGTTTGTCAATGAGTTGAAGTTTTTGGAACTATCGGTGACGCTGTCGCCAGATAGCGAAAAATTTATAACATGCTGTAGTTTTCGAAAGCTGCTTCGCTTCCTGATGGAAATAACTGGAAACACTGGTAAGTTCTCATGACCAGTTGGTTGGTTGTTCTGTTTATGATGTGTTTCTTTGTGTTTATGATAAAGTTGTACTCACATACGTGAGTGCGAGTTCCTTATTTTGTTGTAAATAAACAGGAACATCTGCCAAACTTGAAATAAGAATTGGCAATTTTCTTCCTGTACTTTGTTTTTTTTTTAAATAAATGGTACTTCTTGATAGGCATAGATTGTCTAAAAGTATGAACTTTTGTAATATTGAATTTATCGCGAAACTTTTCCCAACCTGCCGTCTAAATGAATAAGATAAATGAAGTTAATGCATAGTTTTTGTGTGAGGAACGGGTATGAGGAATTTTATGATTAAATGAATGAAATCAGTGAGATTTCGGAATGAATATGTCTTCGTTTTCAGGAACATGGTCTTTATGTCTCAAAGATAAAACCAAACGAGCACAAGGATGGTTCTGCCCGTCGGAGTTGTCGTCTTATCGAGTTATTGCCTTCATTGCATATGTGAGGACAGTACTGGAGTTGGGTATATCTCTTCATACATTACAGCTGATTGATGAATTGAAAATATCTCCTTATATGATGGTTATGAAAAAGAGACGACGTTTTCTCTACATGTATGATGAGTACAGGGTAAGAATAGTTTTACATATCTGCAACAACTTTGCCTGTATTATTCTGGATACCATTCTGGATTCTCCTGATCTTCCAGAATTTTCAATCTTGTATTGATCTGCTTGATATGTTTTTAAAACATGAATTCGGAATTTAGCTTTGGTATTCCTTATATCAAGCTTTCGTGTAGCTTTCGTGTTTCTCTTGTTTTTCCCACAAAATCCTTTTAAACTAGGAAAATACCATCCATAAAGTCGAAATTAATTTAGTCATCCTGATTCTTCACTTCTGTGTCAAGATGAAATATTTTATGAAAAGCAGTGGGTATCTGGATGACAGGTTTTTTCGATTGTTCTGAGAATCTTTTTTCAGCAGTGCGAGAATTTGATTCTATGCTATGATATTGGAATTATTGCACCGTCGTTTCCTCCTATTGATGATAAATACTACCAGTTACAACAGGTCGAAATAATATCTTCACATGTTCTTTACAAGGATGATTTCTTGAAATACCTCTCGTTAGCATCAAGTAAGTTTGGCTGAATTAATGAAAATCTTTCAGGTTTTGAAATTAGCAGAAATGCAATAAAAACGTTTTCACATACTAGATCTGGGTTTGGATAATAATTATTTTCTCACATTGATGTTTAAATGGTTGGATCATATTGAATTGTAATTTGCATTCTGCTGATGTGGAAAGTGATTTGGACCTTATAGTGTAGCATATATTGGCTTGCTTGCAGAATACTAGTTTTATCTTTTTTCATGTTTTCAACTACTGAAATGATCGTGAACATAGGAAATTGAATAATTCATATTTCCAATTATATTAATTGCTTGTCATCAATACAGATATCAAAGTTGTACGCATCCTCTTACCATGTCATTGGACCGAAAGGGTGGAGCGATGCGCATTTGGATGTTTCCTTAATGCTGATTTTGCATGTTTCATGAAATATGGATGGGCTTCATTATCATGTTACCTTCCTCGTGCTTCGCTTGTTTTTTCCTAAAAACTTTTGATTGGGTGTTGATTTGTTTTTCTGTTTATACAAATCAGATTCTGCTGTTATATGTTGACCGATAACTGATCTCGTGTTTACCTGTATAGATATTGTTTTCAATTCATTCTGTTTTGATAATTTACATTTGTTTCCGTATTTGGAATTGATTGTTCTTAATGCTCGAAAACAGCAGAAGCTTTACGTCCACAAGCATCTATGTGAGGTGCATTTCTCTTTGAAACTAGTGCTTTATTTCCGTTGCCTTTGTTGCATCGTAGAATTATTTCTGTATTGAGTAACAATTTTCAATAGTTTTTGTTCAACGTTCTGCAAAGTTCTTTTCCTTCCTCAGAATTTCTATGGTATTTATCCGTCTTCCACATCATTTGACATATGATATCTCTTCAGTGCGTTCCTCAAACTGCAAAATCTTATGATCATATAGTTTTTAAGTGTATTTACAGAATTTCATATAAACGAAGTTCTAGTAATGTGATTCGAGTGACTTGAATATAAACTGTACAGAATGCATTCATCGGTTAGTTAGTTCGATTTGAGGTGGTAGGAACGAAATTACGATATGTATTGAAATAGGGGGAAAGAAGGGGATGATTGGAAGGTGAGAAGTTTGAGTTTTCATCTTACTAAAGCATCCGATTTTTTTTAATTGAAGATAGAAGTAGGAAGAAATGAATCCTGTTGAAGTGAGATGACTGGAAGCATGTAACATTCCAATGTTGTTATGATATGTACATGTGGTGACGAGATTAGAAGCAACATTAGAAGTCAGCTCCTCTGCTCTCTCTCTCCCCCATATGATCATTCGATTTCATCTTTCGGGATGATAATTGAAGATAAAGATGATGTTCTTTTCTAGGGTACAATAAGAAGATGGAGAAAATGGATGAATTAGTGTTGTTACTTTGTCTGAAAAATTCTTTCTTCTCTCTAACTCGGATGATCAGTGTTTGTATTTAAAAAAAAAGGCTTATTCCAGCAAAAACGGTGTTTGATCTTCACTTGATAACACTATGCTTTATGCAAATAACTTTGTTTTCTTCTTTTTTTCTGAAGTGCTATACTACTATTCATACCTGAGCTTCTTTTCTGTAACATTGACTACTTATTGATATTTGTTGAGGTACATTGTGTTAACCTCTTTGGTAGCTTGTTATTATGCTCCGGTTACATTTTTATTGTTAATGCAGATTATCCTTGAGTACTTAGTCGAGCAACCTGAATTCATGTTACATTCAAAACGATAAAGTCTTGTTTTCTTTTTAATGTGTTTCTTTTTCTTTTGTTATATTTTATGCTTCAAATTCCATCAGTTCAAGCTTTTAACTTTCAAAAGTTTATCCAAAGTTAAGGATATATAATAATACCATAACATTTATGCACGTATTTTTGATCGTTATTTGCAAATAGGTATAATTCTGTGCAGAAATAATTGATGAATTTAAACTTTGTTAAAGTACGCAGATTTGCAATTCGTTGAATAAGAATATATAAGTTAGACATGGAATAAAGTTCAGATTCTTGGTGATAAGAGCAGTGGATTTTATGCAGCAATTACTGCAACTTTTTAAACAGTTCATTAACATAACTAGATATGAGATATGGTAAAGTGCTACATTCTTAGATGGTCTTTGATATTGTCGTGCTCATAAGACCGCTGACTTATCTACCAATTTCAATCTCTTCTGAATTCATCATTGAATGGTTTCGTATGTTGCATCATTATTAGTTTTATACCATCCTTCCTACTTCTCCACCTTTCTCAGAATTTGAAATGTTTTCTTTAAAGATGATAGATTGAAAGCATTTCACTATAGATATGCTTGTTTAGTGATAGTTTCAGGTATTTAATTCACAACATATTGGATTTTAAATTTCACTACGGAAAACAACCTGAAAACAAGTTTCCTACTCGTACATATGTGTTGAACTTGGAGGAAGGAAATAATATTGGACAGATTGGTGAAAATTCTTCATATACAAGATTGTTTATTCAAAGCAACTTCATGAAACGTCAATTTAAATGAGAAGTCCTGCAATTTCTTTCTGATTGTAAAACTATTGGGTTATTGTGACTGTAGGAATAATAGTAATTAACTTAGATGTGAAGATACACCTGTTGTACGCGTATCACTTTAGCAGTAATGATTACTGCGTAGTGATAAATTGGCGTAGCCATGTGAGACTAAGATATTTAATCCTTATGATACCAATCATTCGAGACAAGTTCTTCTGATAACGCAAATATATTTTGAAAACGGATGATAAAGTTAAACTACTACATGCAATACTGTAATATTGCAATTGTATACGCTGTCAAATGTATGGTAAGAATAACGACTGACATTAGTGCATATCAAACATAACTTTCAAAATTTTAATAATTTGATTCAATAAATCAGAACTTTTTTATTTTGATGCCCATGCGACCGATCGATGAAACTGTCGAATTAGTCTTCGATTTCCTATTCTCGCTTTCAAAAATCGATCAGATGTTAGCTGATATTATTGGGCACATCATGAACCATTCTAATTATTATACAGAAAAATTTATTTGCAATTTCACCCAAACTTCCTTGTAAGGAACGAAAATGCTTTCATTTTATTAGTAATTTATAAATGAATTATAGGA